TTGAAGAGGTCAGTTTTTGCCATGAATAATTTTTGCAAGTTAACCATTCACTACATGTAATTATAACATCCCAAAAATGAATTTGATGCTGGTGCTGATAAAGTCCAGTACACCACAAACATAATATACATGATTTTTGTGTACCAAACCATTCTCCTTTGTATTGAAACTCGGCGTGTAAACTTGTAACGGAATCATAAAGAACTCGGTGGCGCACAGAGTGAAGCTGAAGAGCTTGGAATGAAGGCTAGCTTTGCGGAGGCGTGACACGGGTATTCCCAAATGTGAGTTGGGCGTTCATTTACAGGAAGTTTTTCCATTGACCTGTTCTCCTCCATTTCTATGGTTTTACAAAATGTGATTTCTTCTTACATTTCAAAATCAAAAAGAAGGAATTGTTAGCCAATTTAGAAGAGATCTCGCATTCAGATTCTAAATATAACAGAAATTATTTACCCCTTGCACTTTACGGTATTGGGTGGGAAAAGACTCGGGCTCCGAACTTCTATTAGTCGGCACGCAATGTTCACCGGTGGCATGTCCGTACCGTACATTACTTGCGGTATATGGTCCATGGCAATTTTGTCCTGTCAATTACAGTTTTCAACTTGTGCAAAGAAAAAAAAAAGAAGGAAAGAGGGAAGAAAAGATGGGGGAAAAAACCAAAACAAACCACGAACCGTTCACTGATTACTGTTTTAGAATATGTAAAAAGAAAGTGGTAAGACAAATTCAACCCTGTACCGTTTGGACCTATACATAGGAAAAAGGAAAACCCAACCTTTACGCTTTCTGAGGAAAAAAAGGAAACTTCTCTCCATACCGTTTACTGTGTTGCAGTCTGTATTGAGAAAAGGTGAGAAATTCTGTATTTGTGTGCGCTCCCGAAAAATGTGGCTGATACTTCGGTGATGCATTAGAACTAAAACTTAACATTTTGGCATCACTTTTCAAGTTCACCGTAAAGCAAGTGATAATCACTCATTTAGAAATGATGAGAAAAAGCAAAGACTGGGACTACGAAACTGTATTTCAGAACTTTCTCAACGCCCCACAGCCAGTCTTCATAACAAATTGGCAATGCAATCAATTTATTTTACTTTTACTGATTTTAAATCAGGTGGAAATGTTAGGCAACTCAAATTTTCCACAAGGTTGGGGATCCTTGAGTGCAACAAAAACCTGTGACAAATTGACAGCGATGCT